TATAAACAAAATATGTATTACCTGTGATGTTAATTATAATAAAAGAAACAAATCAACCGTTAAAACGCAATGAAATGTCAATTACCTGCGGCTATCGTCAAACTCGTTTGGACTATTCTGTTCAAAATTACTATTATGTGTTTTTGAGATTTGAGGCACAATATTTTCTGTTATGTTTTTGTCTAAAGTAAATATTATATTTTTATATAGCCTAGGAGCTTAACTTTTTCATATTTATGTATATACATATTTGAAGAAGCTTAAGCTTAGAGAAAGTCTATTGATATGGTAAATTAAATCAAAATATTTTCGAAGATTGTTTTAGGATCATGCATACGAAATAAGTGTAACTTTGATAGTAACCCTTCAAAAGAATCAAATTAAATATAGTAAAAGTAGCAACATTTATCCGACGTGCACTTTCAAAAATTAGTTTAATTACTTGCATGTTACTTTAACGTTTACACGATTAACTGCACGTTAATGTAGTAAAGGGTGTACTAAAAAATGATTTAATAATATGAAAGATTGAAGCAGGAGAGGCAACACGGTGCCACGTCGACAATTTGATAAGAGCTAATGAACTTGCATCACGAGGATAATTCCGTTATCTCTTTCGACGCTAACGGGATTATCATCTTTATTACGTTCAATTTGCCGAATTGAGTCGTCGATTTTTAAATTATTGGCAAGCCAATAGAATAAGTCCTTTTTCATTTTTATTATTTGATCGAAATGAGCTTCGTACATAAAAGACATCTTGAAAAGACTAACCTAAATTACTTTAACAATGGTCAATCCACCACTGTTTGCTCCAATGGGTCACAATTTAGGGTCATGGGTTCGTAATGTGAGGTCTAAAATGTATAGTGTGGTATATTAAGTTTTAGAAATGGTAATGTTTTTATTGTTATAATTATACTAAAACATTTGTTTAGAAGATCTAAGGTAGCACTGCGTTGCGTTTGGAAGTTATGTAATATTATACACAACTTCTTTGACATATTTAAATATAATAATTTAAGTAAGTTTAGCCTCTTGATTATCACATTGTAGACACAAATATTAATTAGCAATATTTACTATGAAAGGTCAAAAATATAAAGAGCAAATTATAGCTCCGCGACATAACAGCTATGCAATAAAATTTATTCCTAACCGTATTATCGTTTTCACATAACTCGTAGCGTTTCGTAACACTCCAAAGGCGGGGTATAATAAAAGCAACCCATCCACTTCAGCAGTTAATCCAGCATAAAGGCTCAATAAAATCCTTGTTACATACTTTTATTCAGTAACGTCATATCATCTCGGAGCGGTATCTTCAAGTCCATTACCCAATTAGGCGTAACAGGGCCGCACAGCTGGTAACGAATGCAGGCACCTGTCGTCTAATCTCATTACGCCCCCTTTATCGCCGACACACGCCTCGCTCGGATGGTGTCAACTGTAACGTACAATTTTGCCGTGTCAAAGATTAATTGGTTGGAAAAATATCATAGCTTTTGAATGCTTTGAATCTTTTTCCTAATAATTCCACCTACCGGTAATTTCAAACTTAAAGAATCTGAAGAATGATTCCGTTCGAGATATAGACCTGTGTCAGCCGTATGATTATTTTTAGTTTAAGTTATCTAACATAACTTTTCATCCCTGTCAGTTTAACTTCGTAAAAAAAAAATATTACCGTAAATTAAAATTGGCCAGGTTGACTACTTTATTTTTTACAAGTACACAATAAACCTCTTAAAAACATGAGTTTGTGTAGTTTTAAAACAACGGAACTATAGATGTCAATATGATTATTAGAATAATTACTGAATGGGTTTTTTACCTTTTACGGATTGTAATGTTTACTAACTGACATGGTACATAGTAGTAAGCTATCATTTTATAAATATGGCCGCATAGATTTCTAAAGGATGCGATCCCCGATACTGCTGCGTCAGGGAAATGTTTTAGTAGTGAAGTTAATAAGTAGGTTACTTCTTTTAGAAAGTAGGTTAATCAGAACTAATTCGAAACACCGGTTAATGATTAGTTCCACATAAATATATTATACCACATATTTAGATATAATTTTGTTTTATTAATGAAACTAGCTGCTGCTCACGACTGCGCCCGTCTGAATGACATTGACAACGTTGCTTTTTACTGGTAAAAGATTTTTTTATAATTGGTGCAGTAGTTTTCGAGTTATTTTAAGACATACAAAAAAATTAATCGAATTACCAAATGTATCAAACAAGTCATTAGCTTAAAGCTAAGTAACAGAAATTTAAAAAGAAGTTAATGTGAAAATACAAATTTTCATTTGAACGCAACTATATTGTTTTTATCAAATTAAAGTCAAGGTAATAGCTAACTAAACTAATACTTAATTTTGATTTGATCCATATATAATACAAATAACTGTCTGTATATATTAAGATACGATTTAATTACATCGTAATTAATATTAAGCGTTATTAAGATGGACATCAAGATAGTAACAATCAATATATTCATTGACTTCGTTTATGAGTATACAATAACGTCCTCTAGATCTCTAGAATATTCTTTCGCCACGAATGAAAAACTAAAAAATACTTTTTGATATTTTGTATTCTAAATTGTAATGTCATATTATCGTTTTTGTATAAAGTAGCTATGTATGTGTTTTAATATTTTAAGGATAATTGATTTTTTAATCACTAGCTCGTGTCACTTCGTTAGCGACGAATTAAAAAGTATCCCAGTAAAAGTGGTATCAGTGATTAGGTAATGAAACAAATATTTATAAAAACATTTATTATAAAAATAAATAATATTTACAATAACGCACTGGCTTTAAAATTATTATCTGTAAGACATATTATGGTTATAAGATACGTGGGAAGGATAGGAGTAAGTCGTAGGCTGGGAGCCAGGTAAAGAACAGTCCTCCCACAACCACCACACAGTAACCAATACTTCTAAATTAATTAAGATTAGAGACACTATTGGTATTGTTAGTTTACTTATCAACGACTTTATTCCACCTTTAGCTACCAAGAGCGGTCGCAGAATACCGTTCACTAAGAGATTTTCAAACCCTTTCATTTGACCATTAGGAAACGAGGAAACGCCGAGTAACGCTAAAACTATGTCCATTAAACCAGTCGCTTTTGATGCAATTTTTGCGGTCGCCGGATGTAAAAGGGCAGTGAAGTCTATACCACCAAATGGTACTTTAGCAGTCGGTTCTTTTGTTGGTGATATATCTTTACTATCTGACGGAACGTATGGTGATGGACTTGCAGTCTCTTCATAATCAGGTCGATGATATAACCCGTACGGTGAATCAGCTGATTGATCAGAATCCCGGGCTATTTTCATACTTTTGTCTTCGGTATTACTTTCCTTACTTGTATTCTTTGCTTGGTTTGTATCGTCATTGATCACTGTTCTGTTAGCTAAATGGGAGCCAATCGACGATGCCTGCAGGTTATTTGGTGTATTCTGTTCTTGGTAACTATTCCTCATCGGAACGTAAATCGTACCATCAAATGGTACATGAGGCACTTGACGCGGACGCACTTCATAATAGGGTTGGAACATAACAGCGTTTCCTATTACACGTGAATTACTAAGAAAACTTAATAGAATCACGGACACCAAAAAATGTACTAACGAATCCATGTTTGGTAATGAACTACTTCAAATTATTCTTCAATGCAATCACATTTATACTACGTGCAATATGTAACAATTTTGCTACGTACATAATATAGGCATAACGTCCAAAAAAAATCTATACTAAGCGTTACGGTGACACGGTTCCATTATTTGTAAACGTTGAAACATCAGCTAATATCCACTCCGGTACTGCATTCCATTGACATACATTCCGCGACCTTGTCGCCCGCTAATGCGCTGAGTATACTTTTAGCGAACGAACTATCTTCTTCTATGTCATCTATTAAGGAAAATGCGACGGCAGTACCAACATTACTACTCCATCCCGCTAACGACGACTTCTGTATCGCACATGCGAACCTTTGTGTGCAATCCGTTATTATTCTTGACTTAATTCCCTTTCTTTTTTTCTTTTTAAAATATTTAATCATTTTCGATATCAACGGCCACAGTAAAAGCGCTTTCAAACCCAATTTAGCAATAATCATAACTATTATCGGGAGTAATAACAATTTTCCAGCTAATAACTTCACTAACATTATAATTGCGGCGGACAATATTATTTTGGCGGCACTCGATAGGATGCTCGCAAACGATGCGAGCGTATCTGGTTTTGGACACGACGTGTGATAGCCGGAATCGGTGTACGTTTTTCGAATATCGGGATAGTAGTTCGAAGAGCCCGTAAATAAGTCCAGAAATGGAAATTGTTGGGAGTTGGGGGGTTGAAGTGTGCTCAACCCATGTTCCTGGGCACCAACACGAGACACAACAAAAATGACAACAATACTGGCGAACATGACTAAAAAAACTGTTACGCCCCACTTAACATTTCTCTTTTAATACCTTTGGCGTAAAATTCTGAATTTTAAAATTAAATACGCGGGAACGAGCAATTATCTCGGTACGCTTCGAAACATCGAACAATCTCAAGGTCAAAGACCTTTAAACGCGACCTAAAATTATATTTTAAAGAAATTAAGGTTATGTATATTATTTATGCAAAAAGATTAATAAATTGCAACCATTTTTTTTTATTTTGTACATTTTAAATAACAGTAAACACTTACAAGCTATGATTTGTTATTTTTAGAAATTATTTTTAATTAAAATGAACATTTTGTCAAGTGGCCGAATGTAAACATTACCTTTGTCCTGTCAGTGTAAAAGGCGGGAATATAAAACGTCAATCGTAGAAAAAAATAAAAATCTTAATCAAGTTGATTAAAAAAAGTATTGTAAAATTTAAAATAAATTACTGAAGAACATCGATATAAATACTACAAATTATTGTGTAGACATAACTCGTAAAGAGATATAAACATAACCTATAATAAATAGTGATGGTATCAAGGAGCGCTTGCGGGAAGGCTTGCAACAGCTTTAGTAGCAGTGATATATCGCAAAACAACATTATACCGCCATGGTGTTCCTCGGGTTAGTATATTATTTTTATACGTTTTGTCCTGTATTAATAAAAGAACATATTTCTTAGTTATTTGTAGTCCTGCTTATTACCTAACCTAACACTTTTTAAACTGTATAAATCTTTATTATTAGTTAAAGTAGTGTGAAAAGATATAGTCTGTACTCAACGATATATCCAAATTATTACGTCTTAAGACGACGTCGTTTAACGTTTGACGTCGGACGTCCTTTAAGAATCACGCGTACCGAATGAATATCTTTAAAATATTGCATATGTCTATGGACGCCGTTAATCACTCCGTTGTTCCCGCTGTTCATTTGCCCTTTTAGAGTCTTAAATTTTATAAAATTGTATCGTAGACATTAAACATACTCGGCTCATCTATTTCAAAATAAAGATGTTTTTATTTGAAAGTTTAGCAAAAGAGAAATTGTTACACAGTGATATTCCGCTTCTGCCAAGTCAGCGCTGTGCAGTGACCCACTGACTTGTTTGTGTTTCCATTAAATAAACAACTGACTAAGAATATTTTATGAGAGGAGCAGTTCGGCTGCGAAACTTGTGTTCGTTCACATTTAACTCTTGTGTCCATGTCGTTATTAATTCAACGGAACCTAGGTGACGCGGAATACTTAATGTATTTATAAATATTTCTTAATTCTGCTGAACATATGTATAAAGTACACGAATTATTAAAAATAGTTAATTTTCTAAAACCACTTTTTTTCCTCTCAAAGGCCGGCAACGCATTTGTAGTTCCTCTGGTTCCGCTCGTTTACCTCCTTTTATTTAAAAAAAAAACTGTATTACTTATGACACTTCCGGTTACGAAAATCCAATTAAAAATTCCAATCTAATATTGTTCATAGTTTAGTAATTTTTGAACTATCTATACTATCCATTATGGGAATATCAGCGATTGAAAAAAACACTAAAGTTTTTCAATCGTATATCTTCGAATCATTCTCATGAAGAGCTTAAGAAGTATTTATTCCATTAAATTGAGATCGGCCGGGGAATGTAATTCCCGCGATTACCATACTCAATCGAGTTCAGTAATCCTTCGAGAAATTTCTCTTGACTGACAAACCGAAACGGGACGATCTAAATAAGAGCGATATCGCAGGCAGAAATTATTACTGGTTGTGCCTAATTCGAACGACCCAAAAAGCGATTCGACGCGACCGAACTGCTTACATAATGCAATTGGAGCGCGCCTCCCCACCTGCGATACAATGAATAATGCCGGCCATCGTTTACAAAGGCAACAACTATTTTTTTTATTTTTGTAAATATTTAGCACTACAAGTAGAGAGTGCCATTTACAAATGCACGATATTTCAACTTGACGCAGCATAAGCGGCGCGAAATATCGTCCTCTTTTAAATCGGGTATTATATATTTTGTTTTACTCTAAATGCACTATGTTTTTTAAGTTCACAAATTAGAACAAGAGTAGCAAAAAACTAAATCTTTTTTCATTCTAATAAACATTTTTTTTTACTGCATAGGTTATTCTTTAATATTTTATGTTACTAAATGAAATCATGCCTTTTAACGTGATTTGAACAATATAAACCAAGGTTGTATTCGACTGGAATTTATTGAAGAACAATAACACGTTACAAAAAGGATAAAATATATATTTGCTTGTGAAAGAAAAATATGAATAATGAATGGTCTTTCCTTCCGACCCCTGTTTCCCTAACAATATTCCTATCCCCGTTTTCTATCAAGGGATATCCGTTGAACTTTTTTTGAAATACATCCCTCTCTTTAAGACACCCTTTACTAGGAATGGTTTATTTTCTACTAGATTTTGGCCGCGACTCCGTCTGCGTGGAATTAAAAGAAACAAAAGTTAATAGCCTATCTAGTTCTTCCAGACTATCATCTACGTCTATGTCAAATTTCATTGAGATCCGTTCAGCCGTTTAGGTTACAACTCTAACAAACATCCATCCATCCATCTAAACTTTCACATTTATAATATTAGTAAGATTTTCAAATCTTCAATCCTAGCTTATTTTGACGTAATCGTTTTTTTTATAATAATAATTTAAACATACAACAATCATTAAAAGCAAAATTTGTTTACCAAACTAACTTATTTTTGATTTGCGATTTTTATAATGCTACAATTTCTGAAACAAGTTACTCTAAACCAGTGAGGCCTATCGAGATGAATATTTAATAAAAAAATCCTTGCTCGTAAAACAACTCAGATAGTTAAAGAAATAAACTAACAGACAAGTTCTCAGACTTTGATTAATTTAAATGTAGACGAAGAAAAAATTGTAGAACAGTTTACTTAACTAAAACAATTTCTATAATAACGTGTAAAAGGTTTAAACGTTTAATAACTCTAGTCCCTTATATACATTTACTATTATTATAATAGATGAATTTATTAGAGTTTGTATCATAAACTTCTCAACGGATCTCGATAAAATTTGACATAGATGTAAAGCATAGTCTTATCTTTATGTTGTTTTTATTTCACGCGGACAGAACCGCGGGCGAAAGCTAGTTTCATATAATCAGTATGTTTAATGTAATAATATACGAACAAGTAAATTTGGACATGTTTTTTTCAGCACGACTTTCGAGAAAGAAAAAACGACCAGAATTCACTCTAGAACGGGATACACGTTCGTCTAATACATTACACGATAATATCTGGGAATATCATGACGACAAAGATTTACACAACTTTGTATGCGGTCAAAGAAAAACTGCTAAAAACTGCAGCAAGCAAATGAAATGCAAACAAAAAGGATGCGGAATCTGCTTTCAATTACTAATATTTTTCCTCTTAACTCTAGGATGTACAAGTCAGTATTTAGATTTGTGTTCTTTTACCTATATATTCTCATTGATTTTAACATATTAATAAACTTGTAGTGACTTTCTGGAAGTACGATTTGGTCGATAGTGAAGAATTAATAAAAAAAGTTATTACGAAAACGAAATTCATCTTTCGTAAGTGTTTTTATAATTAAACTTCTAAGTATTAATATTAATTTCTACGAAGAATAGATAAAATTAATTTTCATTTCATCTAATTAAAAGAATTTCATACTTGAACTTCTAAAATCAATAGCGCTGAACCAGATAGCTCTCGCTATGTGATTAGTACTATCAAGTGATTGCACTTTGCAACTACATATTACCAATAGTTCCAATACAGCTTTCTATATACCTCTTATGATTATTTAATTAGTAATCTATATCTATCTGTACTTCTATACTAACATAATAAAGCGTAAACACACACTATTTGTTGCCTAAGATGTCAGCAGTTACAGCATATTTTTGTATAATTCTTTTTTTAATAAAAAGCCCTACACTTACGTGACGCTTTAGACGATATATTTTCACGCCATTAAAGTTAGGGTTTAAATATTTTGAATAAAAACCCTAATGTGGGAAAGATACCATACGATACGAGCTGCCAACATCAAGAAGCAAGATTGCCATAATAAGGTAATTGGTATTTGACATTTGCAATTAAGAATTTATCAAATGGAAACAATGAAATAATGTTTTTATAATTTCATGCGGATGAAGCCGCATGGGAATAGCTAGTATCTAATATAAGTGTGAGTTAGCATTATTTGTATGTATATTAGATGTAACATGTATTATGAACATCAATGTAAAATCGTTTTAAGAGAATAAATTAACTTGCTATCGCAGTCTGGTCCAAAGGTCTTAATGGATAATATTTAAAACAATAATAATTAATGACAAGATTTTAGTAAATAAAGAGAATAATTTAAGTCCCTCTGTGACTCTCAGTTCAGATATGCTGAGACGTTAGCATTAGTGGCTTACGCACAAATTTCTATGTAAATGGGGAGGCTCATATTTTGATTTAGTACCCAGTTTAATATATTAGTGAATGTTGAGTTAATGAGGTAGACGTTTGTAATTTATGCAGCGAGCATGGATGAGGCGACATCTGTCGACGGATGTCGCCGCAGGATGGGCCACTTAGCAGGAGAATTGTCACGGGCTCAACGAGCACTCAGGTAACAAGGAGAGTTTTCATTACAGCTCTCGACGCTGGAGGCATATGAATTTAATTATTTTCGAGTGGCAACATTTTTTATAGTAAAATCCTTTTCCTAATTACAGAGCGACGTTGCGATTCCGAAGAACGTTGATGCTCACCACGCAATCTGTACAAGGTATACTTGCATTTTGAATAGATAAGGCTGTAGTGTACAAATATTTCGATTCTCCATTTCTAGAAAATCGATTAATAAAATCGGTTGTCAAAAATTTTATATGTTAACATTCTGAGCCAACAACAACCTTTTGATACAGCGACTCAAGTTCCCAGCGTGGCGCGGACTTTTGACAAATCATTATTTTTGAAACATTATTACGTAGGCTTGTGAAATCTGATCCATTTATTGAGAAACAGTGGCAGTCAGAGAGTTAAAACGCGTGTTTAACTAAACACTGCCTTACTATATTTTTATAGTAACAAATAAGTAAATACTATCTGGGTTTTTTCAAAGAAAATTAAAGAGATGACAATATTGTGTAATACAGTAGATATCCAGTGTTACAGACTTATATACATATACATATTTTATGTATCATAATTGAGCCGATCTGTTATTGAATATCAAACAACCAAGATGAAAGGCAAATAGTAAAAGGATGATATCAATATTTGCGATACTTATTTCATATTCGCGCTCGCTTTTATATAATACCAGTACGCGTGTATAAATTTTCTGTTACCAATAAGGTAAGCTTCAATATGATTTCAAAGCGTAAATAATGTAATTTGTTGACTCGATACTAATGTTTTTTTTTTATAACATAAGGTGGCAAACGAACAAACGGCCACCTGAAATCGCCAAAATGGCTAAGTGACCGCTGCCCATAGACATCCGCAATTGCAGATGCGTTGCCTACCCTTATCAGACGGAGGAGGAGACGCACATAAAGAGGATATTTCCCCTTCTTATGCATCTCCTCCACTGTCAAATCCACTTCCTCTTCCCATCCTCTTTTTATAAGAAAAGGGTGGTAAATAGGAAGGGACTTAAATAAGGCCTCCGGCACCGCAATCATCAGACGAAACACGGAATTGCTTCCATTTCACGTCTGTCTTCTGTGTGGTCGCGGTATTACACTGGGCGTGCCGGCCCTGCAGTGCTAAGATGTTAAAGCGGGCACTACCACTGTTTTAAGGTATTATTGTTTTACAAATAAAATAAAAACATTAGTTTTTAAAGAAAGCTAAAATAAATGGAATAATTTGTCCATACTCTGACTACGTAAAAAGTTTTCATGCACTTCCTTCATGCATCCTTATGAACGTAGATAATTTCTGTTGACAAAATTGTTTTTTAACATCAAATCTCCATAATTATCTATTTCTTATCAGCCTTATTCTTATTATTAGACTTCTCAGTTTTATGTTTTCTATTCCTAGAAAACTATAGCAACATTACAGCATAGTTTGTTTTATATTATCGTTTAATTAAAGAATAATTACGTCGAAGATCGGCTTCAACTTAGCTTTAATTAATTACCGTTGATGTTCTTAAAATGACTCTTCTATAAATAAGCCATATTTCTATGAAATATTTACTATCTAACATCTACATTTTCCTGAATTAATTGTACTATTCAACGTCATATACAATTAAATAAACAGAAACATTTATTACGATATGATGTAGCCATTAAAATGAAAGTTCTATTCGTATTTCTAACACATTTAGTGCTAGACATTGAGCCGAAGTTCCTAGACAACTGTTTACTGTTGTACGGATGGGGTTGACGTTTATCAGTACTCCGCCGGCCGGTGAATCCACAGAGCATATAATTGCAATTTCCCCTGCCCCGGGCTTGACGCCGCGCCTTCACAATGCCACATCATTGTTGTACTGCAAACTAATAAAGTTAGAGTAACGTTTATAATACAAATATGAATGTACAAAAATCATATTTGTACTAATACTAGCTTTTGTCCGCGACTCCATGCGCATGGAATTAAGAAAAAAAGTAAATAGCCTATGTGTTCTTCCAGAACACCCTCTACTTCTCTACTCTACTTCTATTCCAAATTCCATCAAGATCGGTTCAGTCGTTTAGGCTACAAGCTCTAACAAACATCCATCCATCCATCTAAACTTTCGCATTTATAATATTAATAAGGTTAGTAAGAAGATAGATTATAATATTAGTAAGATTAGCAAGTTGTAAGATTATAAATGCCAAAGAGATTTAGATAGAGTTTGTAGCCTAAATTACTCAGCGGATGTCGACAAAAATTGGCATATATGTAGAGGATAATCTGGGAGAACACATGCCAATTACTTTTTTCTTTAATTCACGCCGTATCAATCGCGGGCGAAAGCTAGTATTAGAATAAATTTATGACGCTCTTGTCTACATCTACTAAGACGTGACGTGAGTCTTTTAACACTCGGATAGGCTAGCATAGTTAAAGAAGTACCGTTCCGTCAATATTAGGTTAAATCAAAAATTTATTGTTAACAGCAGAAGCAATATTGTTCCCTTTCTATTATGCTTCATTCTTTACCTCACAAAGTATGTCGATTCTCGAATATTCCTTGCAAAACATCCTATTGAATTACACCAAACTCCAGCTAATGACGCCTCGAAGATAGTCAAACAAATATCTATTTGTAGATAGATTTTTGGCATATAATATTTATAAGTAAAAAATATGATAAAACAAAGAAAACATACCTGTTCGTACTTAACCCGATTCCGCTACACCAATTCAACCGGCCGCTGAGCATTCTCCGCGTTAGTACCGGAGATGTACGAGTACGTATACACAACGGATAGCGGCAATCTGCATTGTTGTCAATTTGCACATTTCTCTACAGTAGCTCTAGTTTAAATTGGACAAGGCATTTACAAATGTATTGTATATTATTATGGCTTTTTCATTGTAGTTTTTATTTACCTCATTGTTTTAAGTGCCAAGGTGACTTCGGGTTCTTGGTAGATAGAAAAGATTGCGTAGGCATTTAACGTGTTATTATGTTAATTTATAATACTCCTATTATCTACTATACGTACTAGTGATTCAAAATTAGTTACTAATTGCTTAGTTGCTGAGTTGCTGAATTTTCCATTTTTTAGTGTTCCCATTCTTTAGTGTTAGGTAAAACTATATCAAAGGAATAAAACTCCAGTTACGTAGTTCTACTAAGTACTAAGAAACTGGCCATAAATGCTTTTACCTTTTGATCCTTTTGATCTTATTGACTTGGTTAAGAAAAAACCTTGTGGAAATATGTCTATATATCCCCTTTCAGGATTGTCTGACCTTTTAAAAGTGCTATCTTTTATTGACTTCAATGGTGTATATTAATAATTCACAATGTTATTTAACTTCTTAACTAAAGGCTAATACTTTAATGTTAACGTTCTTTTCTATACTGGTATTATAAATAAGAAAGAATTGTTATTTTGTATGTATTTGATTCACGTAAAAAATTACCATCAGAAAGGCAATTTGAGTGTAAGTAACATCTTACTAAAATTATAAATGCGAAAGTTTAGATGGATGGATGGATGGATGGATGTTTGTTAGAGTTTGTAGCCTAAACGGCTAAACGGATCTCGATGAAATTTGGTATAGATGTAGAGGATAGTCTGGAAGAACATATAGGCTACTCACTTTTGTATATTTTAGTTCCACACGGACGAAGTTGAGAGCAACAACTAGTTGCTTAATAAAATAAAAGGACCATCACTTTTAAGAAACTTATAAAATCCTTCTTATAAGTCGGTCGGATGAAAGTTTGAATGCCTGCGTAGCAACGCTTAACGCTACTATTTGAAACTACGAGAGCACAGTTTAAATAGGTCACAAACTTGACCGGGTTAGCCCTGTAGCTTGTAACTATGTGAATTTAAAGACACGAACGTGCAATCAAAATAAACTCGTATTCCATTAGATATGGTGATCTTTACAACTTAAATAATTTTTATGCGATGGGATAACTCATGTAAAGTTTATATTGAATAAAAATGCTAACAAATGACAGTGTATTTAATATAGTTGAATTGTAAAATTTAAACATCAATAGCCTAATGGTTTGGGGTATGACTAGTGACTGACTAATGTTTGGGATATCTTGCAGTCGAGGGTTCGAATCCCGCTATTCATCTATTACCTTAAACCATACCCTACTATAAGATTTGAGTTTAGACGAAAGGGACAAGGAAATTTTAGTTAATAAGCCAAAATCTAATCTCATTCAAAATAATATATGTATATAAAAACCAGTACCTAAAATCCGATTATGAAGATATTGGATAACGTAACAAAAACATCCAAACAAAAACATGTTTGCCCACCAAGGAACCACCCGTTTATTCCTTTCGAATTTAAAAGTGTTTCGGTAGTGGAAACCCACTGTAAGTTGTAACAAAATCACTTTTATGGCGTTGGATAGCGGTACAGCGTCGACTTCGAATCAAATGAATGATTGTGCTGACTCAGCATTCGCGGTATCGCCACTCCGCTCTCCTTGATCGACAGCTAAACTTACCCGACGCTTCCTGCAATCATGATAGATTACGACATGGCTGTAGCTTCTCCAACATCCTTTGTTACCAAATAATGTTAAAAAAATATATTCTTCGACATTTTAATACCTAATGCAAAAGTCTCTTATACTGCAAACTGCAACTATAAGAACGTTCGCACACCTTTAACTAATCTATCGCACAACTCTTGTGAGATTGTCGAATGTTTCGCAGCCAATTCAACTGTTTAGCTGCACAACTAAATATCGAGTAATGTCTGCACCTCCATATAAGCTCATAGGAATTAAAGCAAGACTAAACAGTTATGTGATTGTTTAGTTTCAAGTGTGCGTACTCTCTAACTGTACACTTCGAATTCTGTGGCACATGTTATTGTCGTCTCTCTTATTCTTTAAAAAAATTCACAGACAATAACTTAATTTGTTAATATGAAATGACACAGCAGTCGAAACCCATAGTTACATCACAATGTTTCATTTGTTTCAAACAGAAACGTGCTAGAAAAAAAGTGTTTGCCATTTCATCTGTTACTATTTACAGAGTTCAGCGACAAAAGCGTAATGCAAAGGGGCTATGTGGCTGGGGTAGGGGCTTCAAAAGGCAGTGACACGAGGGAGTGGGGGGGCCGGGTCGCGCTGTGGGGGGTGCTGCCGCTCTGGCGCGCCGCCCCCCCGCCGGACACCGTGCTCGCGCTGCGCCCGCCCGCGCCTGCCGACTGCTGGCCTTTCAGGTGAACATTCAATTTTATAACCACTTCTGTTATTGCAACTTTAATCGTTCTATTGATTCGATATATTCTATTAGATCTATCTTTTAGCCAGCTTCAAACAATTTTTAAAACACTTATTATAAAACCTCCCACGTGTAAAGTTTACCTTTGGCTGTTTATCAGTGGTTTATCAACAGTAGAGCCCACTTTAACATCTTCGCACGAATAGGCAGACTCGCCCGGTGTAATAGCACGACCACACAGGCGTGAAGTGCGAGCAATTCCACGTTTCGTCCGATAAATGTGGTGCCGGAAGCCCAAATTTTGACTCTTCTCCTTCCCACCCTTTGTCTTGTAAGAAAAAGATGGGAAGGGAATCCACGGATTTGACATGTCCTCCTCCTCCGTCGCTTAAGGGTAGGCAACACATTCGCTATTGGAAATGTCTATGTGGAAGTACGTATAGCTCATACTTCTTTAGCATCATACCGTCGTTTGATAATCCATAGTTTCCATATAACAATTTTGTTACCAGAAGAGCACTTAAAATCTCAATTATAAACTCCTATACGGAAGCGTTGTTACTCCAGCAGATTATAAAACTTAAAGCGAACCATAGCTGTAGTAAACTTAGATCGAGTTATCCCGGCTCTGAATCAGTTAGGTTGGGGCACATTATTGATGTAAGGTCGTCAACAGCGGATCACACGGCGAAGTTGTTATCGAGTTTGCACGTACAGCGACACTGAGCCAGATGAGCGTTGAACACGTGCGGCCCGATACTGCCCGGAGCGCGCCTAAAAACTTCCTCCTATATGTAAGTAACATACATTACTCAATCTTATCATTATTATATTGTTTATTAATTTTTTAAGTTCCTAATTGAATATAGAGAATGTTTACACCAAGAGGCGTAGCTACACCTTCGAAGTAATTACAGCCTAATTATCCGTTTGTCGTTACTGATCAATTTATGGCAGCTTGTACCTTCTTATAGTAAAAATCAGAACGTTGACTTTTTTCTACTATTTTCTTCTAGGCCATTAGTAGTAAAAATCATTTTTAACAAAATGAATTGATCGAACCGAGCAAAGTCATGGTATTTTATGTTACTATTATATTATTTCATGTGTTTAAAGTGAATTTTTTAATATATTTATTTCAATATATTTAAGGTTTGGATTGTTGGTATGGAATCGTCTCTACGGGCTGAGATTTTGACTAAAAACAATTTTAGAAAGTTCAACGCCATTGTAAAGATTATCTCGAACTTCTCTGAACTGGGATAAAAGTATTTAGATATAATAAAATGCTTATCTCTTTGATTAGTTAAAAGTCAGTCTACTTATTTTTAAATTAATTGAATGCCGCTTTATTTCATTTTTCACCATCTTGATTATGTTGTTTTCGTAAAACAAATATCTTGACTTAAAAGAAATCTTAAAAGTTATAGAAGTCGTGAATTATTCATTAAATTTCTAGCTATATCCGTTAACTATAGTTTACGATATTGAATTATCTAAGAATGAAATTTTGTTTTATTGTCCTGCGTGAAGTTGAAATATGATCCGTGAATTTAATAACATTTATAACAATTAAAACATTATTTTGATTTGAGATATTAGCAATCAAAAATGTACATTTGGAAACTATGATATTATTTCAAATAAAATATTCACAGAGTATTTTAGAAAATAACACACGAGTGGAAAGTGCGCGTGGTGCCTACACGTATAACAGGCCCGCCAAACAATACTTCCCGCTCACCGCCCGGAGCCCGGTGAGACGCGTCGCGTTCACTGTACTCTCCAACCAGGGCAATGAAAGATACACCTGTTTATATAGAATACATTTTTATGGTACTCTTCACAATAATTCATTGTAAATAATAAACGTTAAGATTGAAATAAATGCACATAACTGTAAACTGTTTTATTTTAAATCTAACCAATTAATGCTCCCGACTTTGTCTGCGTGAAATTGAAAAATAATATAAAGATATAGCCTCACTGATAAATAACCTAATTAACGATGAAAGAATTTTTAAAATCGGCTTAGTAGTTTTTGAGTTACTTAAATACACACAAAATTCCAAAAATACGAATCTTTCGTCTTTATATTAGTATAGATAACTCATAGGTCCTGCTGTACTCATAGTTATAGTTATAGTATAGTATAGCTACACGAGTAGCGGACATTAAATTGACCATAATCTGCACCACTCTGAGTGCGAAATTTTATACTATTATAAATCTAATAGTATTCAAGTGATATAGTTTATAAGTAAGGGACTTATGAAAGTTACACAGAGTAGTCTGCAAACGATAAGTAGCTAAACTCGATTACTATCAACTAAGCCTGTGTACTCACCCTAATAGCTTTCTAATGTTGAAAGAACTATTAAAATCACGTCATTTAGCTCAAAGTATAACCATTACAAACAGATCTCTCCATTATAACATAATATACCTATAAGTAAGTATAGAATTGTCTAGTTGCAATAATGCTTCATGAAAGCGCATTGGCCTAATTCTCGCCGACCAATACTATTATAACATGTAACCAAAACCTCGTTACCTGTGTACGCGGAATGCTTCAAGCAGTAGACAGCTACCTGGTAGTCATAGGTAGCTCAAATAATTGATGATCTGCAGATCAGCTCATGGTTCGCATTAGTAAAGTAAACCAGCTCGGAGATTAGCTCAATTTGTATAGACGTATGTATGGATTGAATTACCGGGTGGTTCATGGAAGGTTGGCATATGGTTTCCATAGTACATCGCGTTGTGTCGTGAGCTCATAATTTAGTTGTTGAGCCATAGCTCAACGATACGAGGCTTCGAGAGCTGATCTCTTGTACCAGTTCAGAACTATACATGTCTACTGTCTGCTTAACTCTAGGTTTTAATTGCAGTGACGTGTATTAATACATTATTGTTGTCTCTATTTTGTCAAACAGAATGTAAGTGATGACAATATGTATAATACAAATGTCAATGCACTTGAGTTCTGTGGTAATTGTTGTCAATTTTCAAATTTCCACAGCATCGGACCTTTGTGAGATGCCGATGTTAATTGCTTTAATGCCAGAACAATGTCAGTTGCCGAATTAGGCAACGTTTCGGAACCTCAATTCAGACATTTGATATGTAACTTGGTGCATTATTTAGTACAAAGCTAGCTTGTTTCGTATGCATTCTAAGTGACCACGTCTTATTAAAGCTTTACTGCTATTTAGAACTTTTATTAACGTGTACTACATTTTAATATTCATATAAAACAGATATCTCATTTGAAACTGGACCAAATATAGGTACCATTTTTAATTCCAATAAGAATATAAATTATAGTAAAATTAATAGGTTTAACCAACTTGTCGATAACACCTCGTCCTAATCGTCCGCTTACTCTGCATATTATTATTTTTAGCAATAATCAACTACTTATTGGCGCCTGCAGATTAATATTAGCAATTCTTCGTAAACTATGACTACTGTGATTATCATTGTACCAAAATTACTACCTTGTAACGTTATTCAATTACCTAAATATGGTTCTCTCTTTACAGTGTCTGTCAAAGGTGTACGAATGGTAGTCATAAATATTATTCATGGCATAATGAAAGTTACACAAATGCACAACAGTACTTGCAACAGGAACAAGTCTGCTCTCGCAGAAAGGATTAATGCATGAATAGTTATATTACTGCAACTCTTCAGTTTGAACGTGCCGTGAAATAAATTTTTGTACTTTAATCAAAGAATAAAACTTACTCTTTTTAACAAAAACTGAAGCGTGAGTATTTGCGTACTAGAGATCTCAGTATAAAAGTAATATAGTCTGTCCAGAAACAAACATAATTAGACTAAACTTTTAGCATTGCAATTTACATTCACTTTGAAAAAATCTCAAATAGTTTCATTTAAATCTGTAATTATCTACTATTTTTAATTTTAGTTTAATTCATTCCCAAAGGATTGCTTGTAACTATTAAATAAAACAAGAGCTAGTTTTCAACTGTTATATTTAGCGCAACAGATGTTTATGACGCGGTCCAGTCCTGTGCGGAGCCGCCCCATGAGGGCGCGGCGGCGGCGGCGGGCGCAGCGGCCGTGGCCGCGGGCGGAGCGCCACTCGCGCCCCACTCGTCTTGTACCTGAGACAACACAGTATTCATTACTTGAAAATACTTCGATCCTTAATTCGATGGAATTTTTGATAGCAAAAAAATGTTCTAAATAAACTAATTCAGTAGATGTTTTAAATTAGTTGTTCGTGATACTGTTTATCGAACTAAGGGTTAACATATTCCATACCATTGAGACTACATATGGTGGGTTTATCACGAACATTTGTTACGTTTCGAGAACGTATTCGTAACATCGACAAAATTAGTATGTGATTTGTTAATGTACTTTACACATGGTACATAAATAAAAAGGTATATTGGGTGTTTCCATTTTAGTGCACCATGTATTGACATAATATTGTCATTGCCTTATATCCTCTTCCAAAAAATAGAGAACAATAAGTATTACTAAGGTCTAGACATCCCTAAGGGTAGGCTACGAGTTCCTTAATGGGAGTAGAGTGATTGTGTTACTTCAGTCAAAGCAACAGAAGAAATATTCGCGTCATTTACCTGGGCAACCCAGTCTTCCTGTACTGCAGCTACTCCGAAAGCAGGGGCTGCGGCGGGCGCTGATTCCTCGGCCCAGGAGACGACAGGCTCGACGGTCTCATTCCAGTCCTCGTGTACGGGCGGCGGTACATCAGGCTTAGCCGGAACCACAGCCTACAAGAAGCAAGAATGTTCTTGTTAAAACAATACAATACAGAAAAGCTCAACAGTTCTTGCCGAAATTTGATATAAATGTACAACATAATCTGTAAGAACACATTGGCTACTCTTATTAAAAAGTTTGACTTTGTGATGTTAGGTGATGAATCATAACTATTCTCTAGCAGGAGGTGGGGAAATAAAATGAAGAGTGTATGGTGAGAGACAAAGGTAAAATAACCCTTTTCTAGACAAAACAAATGATTTTGCTAAAAAAAAAATTCTAAATGTTTTAATTAAAATAATGGAAAACCTAGCGAATTTTACTGGTTTAATTATAAAATTACCTGTTCCTTAGCTTGTTGTTCCTCCTTCTCGCTTTCTTCAGGGTCACGGTAGAAGAACAGGTCCACTACAACATCCCAGCGCTGGTCACGTGGGAGCACACCACGCAGACGCAGAACTTCCCGGGCCAAGAGCCACCACATCAGACCAATTGAGTGTGATGACTGAAATATAAATATAATTTTATAACTTAGCTGCTTTTGGAACTGTTAGTTCATAAGCATTAATGGTTTACCTCAATCTTTACTTATAATGAGGAAAGAATTGTGTTTTGCTATCAAACACAACTACACAATTTCAAAAATTAATTTATATGCTATAAATTTTACTGGTTTTATCATTTTTTAATTCTGAATAAATTCGCCAGCAAAAAGTAATCATTATTTTTACCTTGGTGTTGCATGGGATGGCAATGTCAACAAATCTGAGTGGAGAGTCAGTATTACAGAATGCAATAACAGGAATGTTGACATAGGAGGCTTCAGTGATGGGCTGGTGGTCTTGAGCGGGGTCCAGTACAATGAGCAGACGGGGCTCCCTGAAGGCCGCTTGGATCTGTAATTATAAATTGTATTAGGCGGGTACATAATAAAATTGTTACTAAAAGTCTTAATGACAATCAGATATACTTTAATCATTTTTTCTTTTAAAAGAAATCAGTGGTTCCTTAGTTTGTTTGTCATCATTTAAATAGTATAGGAATTATCTTAAAATATTCGCAAAGTTACTGTTAAATGTAAATAATACATCATTAAGGACTTTTACTACATCTTGCATCAAAACCATGTCGACTCACCTGATTGGTGAAGGCACCAGGAGTGAAACGTCCAGCGATAGGTGTGGCACCAGTGTGCGCTGCGAACTTGAGTACGGCGCGCTGTCCGAAAGGACGAGACGAGATGACGAACACATCAGCTGGGTTCTCAATAGCGACCACAGCACGAGCAGCTAACACTAGCTTCTCCCATGTGCGTCGCAGATTGATCACGTGGGTGCCATCCGCACGCCGCTTGTACACATACGCTTCCATCTACAAAAAATTATAACAGTTATAGAAAAATAGCGCCATTTCAAAACTTGTGACTATCACATGGTATTCAGTTGGGAGAATTGCTCCTCAAAGATTTCAGAAGATAAATGGAACGGATTCTCTTATCATCATTTACAGACAGTTTAGGTTAACTATGAATGTAAACAAAACTAACCTGAAAGTTGACATTTTCCGACCCAAGATGGGTTGTTGCTGCAAGCATTTTAGTGACATCTTCCTCGTTGAGGGCTAAGACATCTAATCCTCCCGACATCGTTGCGTTTATTGGAGTAACGACTAAACCTAAAAATCAAAAACTCATGAGTACCGGGCTTGACACTTTATCATACAAATATTAAATGTGCTAAAAATATATTACTTTATATAAGAAGAAAAATTTGAAGAAGCCATCGCCAATTTGATTTGGAAAAAACGATTAAAGATTGCAAAATTTAGTAAAGATTTTAAAAAATAACTTACGCGTGTAATGCCACTGGGAGGCGATTGGACATAAAAGAACTGTCAAATCGAATTTGACACGTTATTGTGTTTTTGGTCGTAGGGATGTAACAAAATGTAAAGGTAATAACCGGTAAAATGTCATTTTTAGTGTACTAAATAATAAATGTAACTTTACTTTACTTTTCAACTTTAACTTAATCAACCAATAAATATAATTAAAAGAGTGTAAATGTAACACTCACATATTTTTAATATTTCATCGTAATGTTTAATATTTCGTATATTATTCAGACAGTTAGCCAAGAATCGAAAAAAAAACTCATCTGAACCCTGTAATCATACAACTATTTTCAGTTACTTGTAAAGTAATTATTAAATACCTACTCAAGTAGAATTCACATTCTAAAAAGTTAGCTGTTAGAAATTAGATTCTGAAACAAATCTGAAGCTGAACTGGCAACACAGAATAGTGTGTGTGACTGATGTGTAGACAGAGATCATATAAAATTGTTTCGCGTATTTTCTTATAATCCTGTGGATAAAGTTATTCATTAAAAATACATGCATTATGATTACTTTACTTCCCTGACCTCAAGTGCTGTAGTCAGTTAATATACTTTGTGAGTTATTTTGGTATCCAGTGACATTTCAGTGAAGTGCCTAATTTGAACATGGAGGCTATAGCAAAACACGATTTCACTGCAACTGCTGATGATGAGCTGAGTTTTAAGAAAAATCAAGTACTCAAAGTAAGGCTTTAATTTTTTAAATACTTGTCAATAAGTCCTCTGAAAGAAGGAGACGGATGTTACCTAGAATTCTTGTTGTTGCAGATACTAAACATGGAGGACGATATGAATTGGTACAGGGCTGAATTAGACGGCAAAGAAGGACTTATTCCTAGTAACTACATTCAAATGAAAAGCCATAGGTATGTGGACAAGTACCAATTATTATTTAAAGTATTTTGCATAAATCAAACTAATGTTGCATTTAAAAAGTTAACTTATCAGTAACTTCGATCTTATTGCAATCGCCGGGAATTTTTGTGTAAATACGTAAACATGTGTTTTAAATTAATGTACTTGCACATAAAATCATGTTAATAAGTAGATTTTTATACTAAATTGTAGATAATACACAAATATTTCTTTTCAGTTGGTACTATGGTAGAATTACAAGAGCAGATGCAGAAAAACTCTTAGCAAATAAACCAGAAGGAGGATTTCTCATTAGGATCAGTGAATCAAGCCCTGGTGACTTCTCTTTATCTGTTAAGTAAGTACATTAGTTTTTCTCTCTATCATTATTTGTTCATACAAGTAAATCTACCATATTAATAATTATTTCAACATGCTGAGATATGATGGATCAGGATATCCTATAATGTGATGATAATAATTTTGTTAACAAAAATGTTAAATTTATATTTAGATACTCCTTTAAAAATAACTTCAATAAGTATTAACATAAACAAAACATATTATATGAATATTCCAGCCATGCTTCCTTTCCAATATTAATTCTGTCTTCAATATGTAGAAAATTTATCAGTGCTATAGAATATAAGAGAATTGCACAAATGGAATAAAAAGAAGTACATTAAATTTAAAAAAATGATTATGAATTATGCACGAAATTTGAATGGGTGACCACCAGTTTATTTAATTTTTGAAAAAGAATTAAATGTAACATTTCTAGAATATACCAGAAGTTTTTTGTATAATTGCACACATGTTTTAACATGTAATTATTGAGTGCTTTGTCACTTTATTAAATTACTCTTCATAGTAGTCTATGACCTGTGACATGGCAATTATCTAACTTTGTGTAATGATGGTTTAAAGCAATTAACTAAAATTAGAACAATGAAATCCTAAGGTGGGGTCATGGTAGTTATACACTAATATATAAATTGTTATTTTTAATTGTGCATAGTTTAGAATAGTTACCTTTACATTAATTATTGAATTCTGCACTTTAATTGATTGTATAGTTGGAAGATATTTCAATGAAAATATTTATCCTTCGTTTAGTTATGTTAGTATTAACTTTTCACCAATCACATACTTGTAATTTAATATTAATACTCACATTTATTAACACACTAGCTTTCGCCCGCGACTCCGTCCGCGTTGTATTGAAAAAAACAAAAGTAAGCCTATGTGTTCTTCCAGACTATCTGCTACATCTATGCCAAATTTCATTGAAATCCGTTCAACCGCTTAGGCTACAAATTCTAACAAACATCCATCTATCCATCCGTCCATCCATCTAAACTTTAACATTTATAATATTAGTATGATGTAAATTATAGAAGGTAAGAGTCCTTAAATAATCAAGGAAAATGTTTTGTATTTATATTGTCATGTCAAGAGATATTCCGCTTCCTAATATGGAATTATTTGTTGGTATGAAACTTGTGAAAATAATTACCATATCTAATGGTAAAAACAATAGAAATTTTAATTTTCAACATACCAACATTGAGACAGCTAAAGTCTGCTACAAATATTCAGTTAAAAAATTGTGGGTAAAACTTTTACTATTCAGTTGTTTTGTTAGTTAAAACTTAGCACATGTATGCAGCTTAAAGAACTTCATAATGAATGATCATTTATCTTTTTATTGTACATTACTTGAGATTTATGTTACTGTATGTTCTAAATAACTAGCAGTAAGATGGAAAAACTCTGGCTTATACAAAACGGGCCTTGAGTCTAGTGTAGGAACCAGTCACTCAACCACTACCATACATAAACAATTTTGTAACTTATAAATAAATCTTTAATTTTTGAATCAAACTTAACATTGTTAAAGTAATTTATTAGAATGTTTTAACTGTTCAGTAATCAACTAAGAGCAGGAAAAGACAATAACAAAGCATATTAAATGAATAAATCTAACTTCTCACTAATATTATAAATGCGAAAGTTTAGATAGATGAATGGATGTTTGTTAGAGTTTGTAGTCCAAACAGCTGTATGGATAGGGGTGAAATTCGACATAGACATAGAGTATAGTCTGGAAGAAAACATACACTACTCACTTTTGTTTTTTTTTTTAATTCCACATAGACGGAGTTGTGGGCGAAAGCTAGTAAATAAATAATTAATCATTGTTATCATGACAAACAGTCAATATTCACTAGGAATACATATGACAAATATTTCGTTGGAAACAACTGATAAACTGCCTATCATATAAACAATATCTTGACTTTTCTCTCTATGTGAGAACTTTTGTAGTTATAAAAATAATTATTTGGTAACTCATAAAGTTCCTCTCATATTAAACTTACAATAACAAGTTGTTTGTTTTTAAAGAAATAATAATTGCTTTTAAATATTACTATAACACTTTTCTTAGGATTTAAAAGTGGAAATAGATGTAGAGATTTCCTGATGTAATTTGCTCGATAGTTTATTTTCTTTGAGTTCATTGTGAAATTTTACTGACGGCAGAAAGATGGGAAATGAATCCTCAAGTATTTGTTGTTGTTTATGGTATTATAAACCAGATTACGCCCGCGACTCCGTCCGCGTGGATTAGAAAAAAACAAAAGTGATTTGCCTATGTGTTCTTCCAGACTATGCTCTACATCTGTACCAAATTTTCCGAAATAAAAAATTTTCCAAATATGATTTTCCAAAATAAAAAAAATCCGTTTAGCCGTTTAGGCTACAAAGTCTAACAAACATGCATCCATCCAACTTTCTCATTTGTAATATTAGTATTAGTATGATTTTATCCATTCAAAAGATTCAATTTACATGTTAAAATATTATTACCAAGTTCACGATAGTGAGGTTACATATTTATTGGTAGTTGATAGTCAAATAGCATGCTAGTATGAACGTCCATGCGAGGCAAGCAATACTATTCGATGTTAAATTGGTAGATAGCATAAGTAAATAACGCGTCTTGGTATCTGAGTCATTTAATCTTTCTAGCGGGTGTTTTTAACCGCAAATTTCACCCTTACGGCTTCTAGTGCTAGTGATTAGCGACCTATTTGTTCTAGTAGTTTGCTATAAAAATGTAGTTAAACAATTTTTTGTACCTTAACCGGTAACGTACAGTCGGGGAATCTCGCGATGTTCGAAAAGCTATCGTTTGAGGGTTTTGAACACATTGAGACGCAGAATAATAACCAATAAGATGCTGTTAAATCATTACGAGAAAAATATCGGTTATGCACGGCTATTGGTTTTTCTCATTAGTTAACAAAATTCACTTCGTCTTCGTAATCAGACGACACAACAGACCGCCAGGTACCATCCTCACCATGTTTTTGCGGAACTTTCTGCCCCGGACAGCCGCGTTGTGGAACGGTCATTCCTCGGCGGTATTACCAAACCAATACGACTTAGGGTCCTTCAAAAAGCGAGCCTACAATTTCCTCCAAAGGCCGCCAACGCATCTGTAATTCCTCTGGTGTTGCGGATGTCCATGGGCGTCGTTGACCACCTCTGTGTTCCCGCCGCCCGTTTGCCTCCTTCTCTTAAAAGAAGAAATATATCTAATTGATTTTGTAAGTGTAGTTTGTCTTGTTATAAGTAACTTGCAAATTTTGTTGTAAGCGAAACATCGCGAATTTCCGCGACAGTGTATCTTTTTCATTCTCTATGACGAAGACAGAGATAACAATATTTTTGTATCTCAGTTTGAGTAAACCCACATTTCGTGACTTATCGGTCGATGTGGTTTATTCAACAGAATCATTAGTCATCCATCGTGTTTTATATTTTGCTGATTATATTTTTTGTACTTTAAACTTCTTAAATCTATTTCTTGTATGCTTTTAAACCAGTTCGTTGTCAAACAGTATGAATCAGACAAAGTGAGGAGTGTGTTGGAACCAGTTTTAAACTATCGCATACTCGTATATAAATACTGTGATACTAATATTGACTTGGTGTATAGTTTATTTGCAAAGTATTTAGAAAGTTAATGAACTGAGGACAGTCCGGACTAAATGATCTAAAAACAAATTAATCGACTGACTGTTACATTATGAAATTTCCATGTTATCGATTTAAAAAAAAAGAATTTGAAACGTGCAAATCCTTTCAGATATTATGCATAATAATAGCAAATTCGGCATCTAGAACCTTCCAAGATACTTTGTCAATTGTTTTCACATTTTTTGTTAGTCTTCAAAAAGAAATAGATACATAATTCTACATAATTTTCGGCGCGTCATTTATCGAATAACATCGTTTGAGTATAAATTACTAATAAAAATAACTTTCGCCTGCGACTCCGTCCGCGTGTAAAAAAGAACTAAGTAGCCTATGTGTTCTTCCAGATTATCCTCTACAACTATGCTAAATTTCATAAATATACGTTCAGCAGTTTAGGCTACAAACTCTTACAAACATCTATCCATCCATCTAAACTTTCGCATTTATAATATTAGTAAGAAGTGACAACCAAAATTCAGTTTTTTACCCATGTAAAATTAAGAAAATCCGATAACCATATTATTGGCGTGGCTGATCATTTGTTATAGCGTAATTTCGGAAAAAACACTATAATATTAATTTGCATCATATACCTACTGTTATTTAAATCTTTCATATAATATGAAATATTTTATACTTTCCTTAATACAATAGTAGTGTACATTCGCACGTTTCATACAAACGAAGCGAATTGATTATTCATAGGGCACAAACTCTGGTATTCATTTTAAAATTGTATAACATTTTCGTGTGAGTGAATAATCATTAAATTTTTGCCGTATCGTTCATAAGCATTTTTGAAAATTAACTACCCAAAAGTATCCTAAATCAGAGTCTGTACTAACTATGCCTGTCTATATCTATACTAATATTATAAAGAGGAAATATTTCTATGTTTGTATGTATTGAAATAACTCAAAAACTACTGGAATAATTTCAGAAATTCTTGCACTATTAAAAAGGTAATTATCACCGAGTAACATAAAATATATTTTTACTATTTTTTTTTAAATTCCACGTTGACGAAATCGCGAGCAAGTGTCAAACATCATCAGACATCATTCATTAATTTCTAGATGATTCAGTAACATTCAATTCAGAACATTTGTTCGAGCTGTTGAACTCAATAGTTAAGGATATTAAGTACTGATTTTGCGGTTGTAAGTACGAATTCCACACACAATTATCGTGAACCATATCAGAAAAAGCTTCGATCTTAGTCGGAAGAAATATTAGTCATTTATGTTTTCTAATAATTTACTTACTCTAAAAATCCATATGTTCACTATTTTAATATTATGTCTACAAATACATATTCTTTATTCTTGTAAATATTGACTATCCATAATATTATCAATTTTTTATTGTCGTGCAAAAAAAATATCCCAAGTTTGTCATCTCTTTAGAGACGAGAATATTTGCCCGACCGCTTATTATTCGGAGAAATTGGAAATACTGTTGGTTCGTGTGAATCATCTTGTATTAAATTCAGCTACGTCATTCAAATGACGTCACTGTACATCACCAAACAGCACATTTAAGCTTAATTAGAAAAAAAAATAGAATGTACTACTTACCTTGTCTAAGTCTTACTTTGCCTTTATTTCTATAACTAGCTGTTCCCGTATGGCTGTATCCGCATGACTATGAAAATTTTATTTTATTGTTTACATTTGTCAAATTAGCAATTGCAAATATAAAAATGACATGACTTGATGAAAAACCATGACAATCTCCTTTTGTTGATGTTGGCAGCTTGTAACCTATGTTCCCTTTCCCACATTAGGTTTTTTTTTTTTTCAATTTATTTACCTTCTAAGTTTAATGGTGTGAAAATGTAAAGCCTAAAGCGTGCCGTAAGTGTTATATGAAAGAAAGAATTATTTAAAAATATCCTGTGATTGTTGACATCCTACGCCACGAAGTAATATGTGTTAACGCTTTATAATAATAGTATAGATAAGTACCTATTTGAAGGCAAATCGTATAAATTGGTATTTTCTAAACGCAATTCTAGATTATATTATGTTACTTGTAGTTTATCATTGATATCGTTATTATTTTAGATGTCCAGACGGTGTCCAGCATTTCAAGGTATTACGCGACGCGTCAAGCAAATTCTTCCTATGGGTGGTTAAGTTCAATTCGCTGAACGAGCTCGTAGACTACCACCGTTCGGCATCAGTCAGCCGCCTGCAGGACGTCAAACTACGAGATGTTGTACCCGAAGAGGTAAGGAAATAAACATCTTGGACTAACAATAACTTTCGAATTACGTGCATTTACATTTCTTATGCATTTAGTCACATTCTGTCCACTCTACTAACTAGAAATGATGTTAATCTAATATTACCTGGTCTACGAGCTTTAAATATATTCTTATTAAAAAAAAACACACAACATAATGTACAATACATGTTAACATAAATAGATCCTAGAAGAGTTGTCCTTGTTTTTTCAATGAGAGAGCGAAAGAGTTTTTGAATTGATGTTTCAATAGTGAAAAATCAAGGTTTAACGAGGTAGAAATAAACTTATTACATTAATTGTTTGCTTTGTAAATAAAGGCTGTTGTTTTCCGAATGTCCAAATATAGTGTAAGTCTAGTTTTCACCGTGTTGCCAAACTCGGTAATAACAAGATTTACGACCGGCGTCCTTATTCTGCTTTAGAAAATCGGCTTTCTAGTTTGCGATGTATTTGATATAGGATAAGTCTAAATCCTAATATCACGAGAAAATGTTTAGATAAGTTTTTTGATGACTGAGTTTTTGTGAAATAGACAAAAAATAAGCTATTGTATCAATGGATTTTTTTACGCTGAATTCTAAACCTAAATAATATGAATGAAATAAAATCTAAAACGACTTTAAAGTCCGTTCATTGTTATTCTAGAAAATAATACAATATCTTATTTGTATTGGATTCAACGCACCGTGAATATAACAAAACCACAATAACCAGACAAGAAGAAAAATCTCAGTTATAGTGTATATTTTATTGTAGTCGATAACTTTAACTTGAACCAATGATATGGTCTGTTTGATCCAGAGGGCTTGTCTATTGTTTGGAAATTGAGTGAAATTGCAAAATTAATTTCGTGTATAAAATTACGGATGAAATAAGTTGATTAAATATGAAATCTAAAGTTTTTTTTTAATAGACATTTACTTCAATTTAGAGTATGATTAATATATTTCTATTGTTAATACATCATCAAAGAAACATTTAACTTTTAATAATTTCATACTAATATAAAGAGGAAAAAATTGTATTTTGTATGTATTGAAATAACTTAAAAACTGCTGGGCCGATTTCAAAAATTCTTTCACCATTAAAAAGTAACATAGGTTATGTTTTTTAATTTTTAATTACACACGAGCGAAATCGCGAGTAACAGCTAGTGATTAAAAACTTCCTTTATACATAAATATACATTTGTGTATTTATTCGTAGACATACGACTTAATTAGATTTTCGTAGAGTAAATTCCATTCGCACAGGTCACGTATTAGAGTAGTGTACAAAGCATCTCGCAGCGGGAATGGTACGCCTCGCAAACATCTATGACCCTGATACAGTAACGAAAATAACCCGCATTCGATGTTTGGATAGTGAGAGATGGGTTGAACCCCCCTTTAGCGGTCACATGTAATCTATCCTTAATCGTGTTTATGTTTAACCTAGTACAGATGAAGCCCTTATTTAGATAATAAAAAATAATCAATCATACTTCATAATAGCAGCTCGGAGATATGGTCCCTCCCCCTGGTTTTTTTCCAATTTATGTACCCCCTAAGTTTAATAACTTGAAAATAAATAGCCTAAAGCATGTTGTAAGTGTAGGGCTTTTTGTTAAAGAAAGAATTATTCAAAAATATGCTGTGATTGCTTACGCTTTATTATGTTAGTATAAGTATAGGAGTATAGATAGGTATTATTATGTTATAATGAACTATTATTAAACACTAATGTAGTCTGTATTCGGTAGCAAGACACACGCAAAGCGTGAGCCGATGTCGTGCTTATCTCTTGCAATGCCATTGTGTCGACTCTAAATAAACAATAATCATTAAATTTAATTTGAATAAACGTAAATCACTTATATAGTTAACGCTGCGTTTATGCCTTGTTATCATTATTTACAGTGAAATACCATTTAGTAAGTAAATATTTATAATTCAGCTACCGTTGTCTAGCATTTTGACTTTTGAAATAATACTCCAAAATTGAAGGATATCAACTGATTTCTCTTACGTAAGAATTCCTTACCATATCTCCTATCTTCAATAACGATTTGATAAAAATGCACATAAAAAGCGCTTACTTGACGTTTTAGAGCGGGAGTACATCTATAACTAAACTATCGAACAAATGTTTTGCTGCCCATACAACTGTTTAGTTGCACAACTAAAAGTAAGTAGTGTGAGCACCTTCATATAAGCTCATAAGAATCAAAGCGCGACTAAACAGTTGTGTGATTGTTTAGTTAAACGTGTGCGCGGTCTTAAAATCCATCAAGACTTAATAGATGTTTAAAGGTTTTTAAACAATATGTTTTTAAATGTTTCTTCAGATGCTGGTGCAGGCGCTGTACGACTTCACGCCGCAAGAGGCGGGCGAGCTGGAGTTCAGGCGCGGTGACGTCATCACAGTCACCGACCGCTCCGACCAGCATTGGTGGCAGGTGAGGCACAACACGTATGAGTAACATTATTCCACGTAGGATAACAATTTACAGTTAAAGATTTTAATTCACTTCCCAATTTGGAACCACTGTAATTTAGTACGTGTTGATAAGAGCGTCGATGGCTCAGGGGTGGGCAGTTGACTTGTAACCTACAGGTCTTGGGTTCAAATCCTGTAATGTACCAATGTGATTATATAATTTCATATGTAACATAATTTACCTGACGCTCTTTCGGTGATGGAAAACATTGCGATACCTGCATACATCGGTGAAGGAATTCAAACATATGTCTGAAGTCAACCAACCCGCAGTGGGTCATGGTTGAATATGGCCTAGTTACTCCTTATTTAGGGTAGGCTCTGAGCCCCTCAGTTGCTATTGAGCGTAGATCACAATTAAGCGTCAAATGGTATTTTATTGAAATGGATAGCAAAGAATATCGATACTGACTGTAAAGAGTTACAGTTGGGTTCTTACACCTAAACCGGGTCCGTGTAATTTTATGGGAGGTAATAGTACTAAAGTTTAAATTGTTTATCACTCAAGTATCTATAATGATAAAACAATGATAACGTACTTATTGTAATCTCCTGACCTAAGACAATACACAATCACTTGCAATACGTCAATGCTTAATGGGGGCGCACACCTCTGATTAAACTATCGCATAATCGTTGCGCGATTGTCGATTGCTTCGCAGCCAATTCAACTGTTTAGTTGCACAACTAAAAATCAAGTAGTGTGCGAACCTCTATACAAGCTCATAGGAATCTAAGCGCGACTTATCAGTTGTGCGATAGTCTAGTCAAAGATTTGCGTTTACACTCTTGTAATTATCAAAGTATTGTTAAGATATTAATTTGTCTGCTATATTCGTTTGTTTCTTATGGCAACGCCCGCACCTAAATGTCCTAAATTTTATCCATTTAGGATAAATTTGTTTTTTTTTTAATTGTAATGTTTACTTCCAGGGTGAAATAGCGCATCGGCGCGGGCTGTTCCCGGCGTCGTACGTGACCGCGTACCACTCATAGTGGCAGTGCGACCTCACCTCTTGCCTCTCTACNNTTTATATATACATTTTAGCGCTTAAGGTTTTATTTGGAGAAGGACGGACGTCGGCGTGAGATCGACGATAGCGAGGTATGACCGGAGTATGATTTTATATGTAATTTTTGACGTGTTTTATGGTGCTTCATGTCCTACAGCTGATTACAATGTCGATTATTTTTAAGCAGTAGCTTGTTCGCGTCCCCACGCAATGGTATGACGCGAAATATAAGTGATTTTAGCAACGATACAACTATGTGGTAGTACAAAATTTACATACGTGCCGTGTCTATCATTTATACGTGGTTATGAGACGAATTTATATTTTTTCCTAAAGGTTTTAAATATATAGATAAGTTGTTATATGTTTTAATTACATTCAATTGCGTTTCACCTTTTAGAGCTTTTGCAAAACAATAATTGTGTTCCATCTATGTTATGTCACTGACCTCTACACATGGACAGGCTATAAGCTGTTAAATTTTGTGCCTATACGATTTTCCCCATTTTCGCGCTAACAGTAGTAAATTGTCTGATAACAATCCAACGTGTTAAACATGTGATGGAAATATCGGATTTTGTTATCTTATCTGACAGTGACGTCACTTTTAAGCTATCTGAGCCTCTATCAGCCAGTGGTGGGACAGGCTCTAATTAATAATAACTAACGGTAACATGAAAGTTTGAAGCAACGACCTATCTATCTATACAGATCAGTGTGTAGCCTATCTATATATTTAAATCTTGTTCTTTTTATTTATAGCGTGACATTTATATTGACGACTTTGTCATGGAACGTGCCAGAATAATTTGTAGATTCAAAGTAATATTGCTTAGTGTTTTTAAAAATACAATTGGGATCAATTCAGTGGTATTCGCTGAATCTGCGCCCGCGTGGATTTTACAATGATGTGATTTTATTTAATTTCAAACACACGACTGTTATTTATCGACATATTAGCGTATAATGCTCATTTTCTAAATATTTACCATTTACATTATAGTTAAGTATATAGCTCTAAGTTTGATTCTGATTTTATTTCAACACAATCAGGTAAATATGTGTGTACATACATGTATGTACATAAAGTATATCTGGTACCATAGACGAGTAGAAAACTGATATGCCGCGTACAGCGTCCCTTAAAAGCTTAGCTCTTAGATTTAGACATTGTATGGTTTGCGTTACGCACAATATGTAAAGGCCCCCCTGATATTACTCAAACGAATGATTTTATATTGGCAATATTATGACTATGTACAGTCAAAGAATTATATTCGCTACCCACTTAGGAATGAATAATTTACAGCGATATGAGCTTTATTTTAACATTTTTATATGTTGCTAGGAAAGTTCTCGAATTGCGTTGCGAGCGTCAAATGTTTTCATCGAGATGGGTCGGAAATAAATGTCCTCGACTGTACATACAAAGTTTTAGTACAATACACGCTCGTGTCTATACTGATTTGCTTTGGATGTTTTAATTAGGTTTTAACTATTTTAACATTTTATTTTTACACTATTAATACGATACTACAAAAAAATTTAAACTTTTAAATCTCTAATACAATACGAATCTTTAAAATTAGGACAAAATTTAGAGAAAAAAAAACTAATACGGTAGTATAGACCAGGTTAAAATAGCGCGAGCCATAGACAACTTTGGAATCTAGTCTTTATTGCCTTTGAAAAACATCGAGAGAATAGTCAAACAATTTACTGGATAGAGGTGAAGAGAATATTTCAAAGAAAAAAACATGACAGTTACAATATGAAAATGACGTTTTTGACATTGACAAGGGGGCGCTAGTGAGGTTAGTTTGACATTTAATGCAAGTGTCGATGTAGTCATTACAAATGCTTGATTCATCGACTGACACATTCTTCAAACTATGAAATATGTTTCTCCCTTTCATCGTCTTTGAAGAAAGAGACGACAATATTTCTTGTATAGACTTTTCAGCAGTGGATGGCAGTTGTTTGGAGCGCGCTATTTTAATTTATATTTACCCTAACGTTAACGTTGATATGCGCACTCGTGTCGGTGTACTTAGCTAGTGTTTAAGGGTGGGTATCTACTGTCGATATACTGTCATCCCACAAGTGTCGCGGCAGTAGAATCCCACGTTATTAAATTGAATTCGTTACTGAACGACCGAGTGCTCGTGTCGAATGGTAGATATTTATTTTTGTTATCGTAATGTATCCCAAAATTACTATATTTAATAGAGTCAAGTGACAATTTTGAGTTTACGCATCGGCAAAGCATTTAGAGGCCATTGTATTGAGCTTCTCGCTGTAGTGACGAAAAAGGCATGTTTATAAGAAATTGGAAGTGCTATAATCTATGATAATCAAATATTTAATTAATTAAGTTATCGATTCTCCAATATTGTGGAAGATGTATAATATTTTTTACTAATAAATTTAATATTGTACTCGCGAGTTTCATTTCAACCTAAACTTTTTACCCTATTACTTTGCAATATAAAATTAGATTGTTTAAACTTTCGCGAGACATTACTTTAAGCGAAAATAAAAACGGCTCAACTCACGCTTTTATCCTCCGGTGACGGCACCGACTAGTTTCAGACTCTTGCGACGTGACCGCGAACAAAACTAATACTCGCCCTGAAGCAGAACCCACGAAGGCTCTGAAACTACTCGGTGCCGTCACCGGAGGATAAAATTGAGAGTTGACCCGTTTTTAATTTTCGCTTAATATAAATTTAGTAAAAAAGTGGGATTAAAATTGTAAAAAAAAAGAACAATGATTAAGTAATTTATTTCCATTTTATAACATTATAAATAGTTAACAAGTTTCAGTATAAATATTTTATAAAACAATGTCTTTCAATAAATAATACTCAATACACAACTTTATAAGTACTTATATAAATATAATTGTAAAATTTGTGCTACAAATTTATCTAACCCCTAATCTAAAGCCTAAGCCAAATAAATAATTTGTTAAATACTCAATTTCATCCTAATATTAAAACTTTGGTCTACAATTAATATTAACTATAGAACCAATTTCAAAGGTTAAATAATCCCTTGCAAATAAATTAACTATACTGTGATAAGTTTATATTGGCTCGTAAGAACGGCGCTGCTGTCGCTGTGTCAGAAAATGGAAAAACCACATAGCCATAGGAAATAACATTAAAAATTATCACAAGACAGCTACAGTATGACAAGAAACTTAGACATTTTAAATTGACACGGGGCACTAACGAAATATAATTTAGTTTGAATTATGCCCACCGGGTCAGAAAACTTTATCTGTCTATAATAAAAAATCCAATCAACAGTTTCCTTATTAAAATACTGCAGCCATTTGTTAAAAATGTTATTTTTCAAATATCGAACAACATCAAATAATTTGATTTCTCGTTTCGGTATAAAATTAGCACAACTGTAATCCTACAATAATATTGTCAATTTGTTATATAAACATTCCATCGTAATCAACTTTTATAAAAGTTTGAGATTCGATGTGGAGTTTCCTTTATTAAAATAACTTGCACTTAATACACTTACAAAGAATTAGAAAAGGAATATTAGTATATTTTAAATATTCTACTCCTAATTTTTAGTAGAATTTTTGGTTTTTACTATAATTGTGAACACTAACATATTTCGGAATATTTTGCATATTTTTTTTGTTTAACAAAGGCGAACTATCTGATGCATAGTGTACAAATATGACCTATACACTTTTTATGGTAATGCACCAATAAGCGAATACACCACAGACTATGCTAAAAGTTTATCTCGTACGCCTTTATATAGTTAAAGTTTTGTTCAAAAAACATCACTAGAAGCTGAATAAAAATTTAGCTTCAAAATATACATTGTTATTACCGGGGTAGGATTTTTTTCAAATATGGCATTTGGATTTTTTTACCTACTTTTACAGTTAAGGCAGTTTATTTGAAAAATGGTCTAATGTAAGTACATACAAAAGTTACTAAAGAGATAATTAAGAAAAACATTTTACTGTAAGGTATTCTTTTTTTAAATGGAAGCAACCCATATAAATGTTAGTAATGGGTCGATTCCGGTTTAATACCTTTAACCAATGAACATTGAGATTTAAGTGTCCTTAAAAATCTATTGTTAATTGTCACTATTACTATAACACGTTACATGCCATTACTATTTTTTGTTATAAAATTCACAAAGCCAGTCAGCATTGAATGTGTTAAAAAATATACCTCGATAGGTATATATTTTCATAAAGTGCTGTTTATATTTTAAATATATTTAGTAACTACCTGTTGCTTTTTTCTAGGACTGACTGTATCTTGTTTGATCTATTTCAAAAAGGCTTACCTCCAACAACAAGCATCACATTTTCAAAGGCAATCCAATTAACTAACGCCCACGGACCCATTCTTACCCACGTCGGTAAGAATCCTTTGTATAATGACAAGATCCCCTCATTCTTCACAGATTGCCGCACACAGTCAACCAGACCACGATATAATAATCCTCTGAGGAAAAAAGAAATAATTAGAAAAAGCAGTTCAGTTCATTCTACGTCAAAACGTAAAGTAAAAATTATTATCACTAGTAATCATATTGTCCCCAGGTCCATGAAAAAAAAAACCACCAAGAAACCATGCTTGTCATACGAAATAGAATAATATGGTTAGAGCGCCATCTATATAATAACGTGGTAAACTTACAAAACTACTTTTCTAAATCGACAAAAGATGGCGTTTGCGAGGCAGATTTCAATGTAGCCGTGGTTTCGTCATTATATTTGGTTTTTAGGTCATTGATAATGATATTACCTAACTAATTATTAGATAATGTAAATATCGTAATACTTTATTCATTTCATTCATAAAACGTTTTTGATAAGGTAAATATATCAAAGTTGTTTTACACCTATCTTTCAGTACAAATTTCCAAAAAATAAAATAGCACATTTAAAAACAATATGCCTACATGTATTAACAAAACATTACGACATTTGCTTATAAATTTATTGTGTAACAGTTACATAACAAGTGTTAACTAGCATCGACTGTGAACCAAACGCCCTTGATAAGTGACTAGGAAATGATCTAAAACGAAAGGAAAAGGACAATAGTCAATGAGAGTGCGCAGGCCGCGACTTTGACCCGGTTGTTTGACCTCGACCGCGCGTTGCTCTCGCTCGTATGTACACCAGCCGCCACAAATAATGCATCATATTGACGTACAAGCCACGCGTTCTTACATATTCTACCTAATGATATGGTATATCAAACGTTATTCTTATTTTTATTATATCACTATCTTTCGCCCGCGATTCCATCCGCGTGGGATTATAAAAAACAAAAGTAGCCTATGTGTTTTTCCAGACTATCATCTACGTCTATGCCAAATTTCATCGAGATTCGTTCAACCGTTTAGGCTACAAACTCTAACAAACATCTGTGGTGTCCGAAACTTTCGCATTAATATTAGTATGATAGTATGATGCAATTTCGCGAAAAATGAAAGAGGGCGTGAGTCTTTTAAATAAGTAAGTGACAATTCAGAATCAGTTTATCGTAGTGGT